GACGATCACCATGCTCATCACTGCAGAGTATAATTAAACAGTGAGCAGTATCAAAAAAATATTGACGATTTCAAAACAAAAAGAAAACAAATATATATCAAAACCTGGTCGAGGGAGCTGGCTCATTGTCACATCTAACAAACAAGTAACGACAGACCATATAGGTACCCTATAGAAAGAAAAAAAGAAACAGAAGAGTAGGGTCAGGAAAGAAAATCCAACTCTGCATAACAAAGAACAATTAACTTTATTTGAACCTGTATTCCAACTTTTCTCCAGCACTTCTCAATCCTGTAAACCCCATCATATCTCACTCCTTTCTCTACAGGGGCATAGGAAGAACGCTTCTCCTTGTGAGACCTGATAATTTTGTAAGCATGAAGAAAGAAATTGAGACAACTTTGTGAAGTATATAAAAAATCATTGCATTTCAATGAAAGTTGAAGAAATACTGCAAAAAGTGAGAGAGATGTTGAGCTAACCTGACAACTCGGACAAGGTATCCCATTTTGCAACTAATTCTAAGAGCTTCGTTTGAATTTGTAAATTTCTGGTCAGAAGACTGATCCTTGTTCGTTCTTTTGTTGCCACTTAGATCTCTTCCTCCACTACAAGACACATTCACACATATTCATGACAAAGACAAAAGACAGAATTGACAACTCCTAATGTAAGTTAAAAAAAAGAAGCAAACCTTCCAGTGTAGAGAAACCATTCTCCATGATCCTCATCATCCTTATAACCTCCAGAGAGTGCCACAGACTGCGCTCCATACTGTGATTGCCCAGAAATCCCAGCAACGTACTGGTAATGAGCTCCCCACTGCTTACAAACCTGTCTGTCTGCCCAAGTCTCTCCAACTAAAACACCTTGGTTTCTGGTTGGGTCATTCTCAGCTGGAATAGGACCAAAGTGATCAGGTGGTATTGTCACAAAAATCCTGCCACCAGCAGCATTTGACATGCCTGTTTTCTTAGCCCGCTCAGTTGTGAAAGCCTTGTCAGGACGGTTCTCGTTGCCGACGAAGTGATACACTTTGGCATTCCCCACATGATCAGATTTTGCAACCCTAGCCAAACGAATCGCAGAGACTAGCGAAGCGTTGATGCGAGGGTCGTTCACCATTTTCCTTGGGATTGCACTCTTGCATTTCATACATTCAAACTTCTTTTTCCCAACCCATTTCTGAAAACATTTTAAGCAAAAATTATGGCCACACGGAGTCTGCAATGGCATGTACAAGATATTTCCGTTAGCACTAGTTAATTACTCCCTCAGTTTCAAATTAATTGTCGTTTTGGGAAAATGTATCTGTAATTATGTGGATGTATTTGCAATGCAAAATACGTCCAGATACGTCCAAATATTTGCAGATACATTTTGCCAAAACGACAACTAATTTGAAATGGAGGGAGTATATATTAATCATCATTCTTGTCAAAATATACAGACACTGGAAAAACGAGAAAGTACTAAAGACACAATCTGGGTCTCATTCCTGTAATTACCGATTCAAGAAATAAAGTAAGTGTTTTCCTGCTGGATTTAAGAGCGGAATTCACTAAATTTGGTGATGACTTTTAGTTTAAGACTTAAAATAATGGCTGCAAAACATTTTAACAGTGACTTTAATTTAAATATTTACGTCTCATTTTAAAAGTGTAAACCACAAGCAAACCCTAATAAGCGAATGAGAACATAAAGAACTATACAATCCAAAAACAATATTAAAATTCTGGTGAATCCATAAGAGTCATTTAATCTATGAGTGAGTAAAGAGAGAGCAAGAGTTTGAGAGAGAGAAGTAGAGAACGAACCGTGACTGGCCTTTCAGGCAACTCGAGGCAGATGGTACAGCAGAAGTTGTCTCGAAGAGCAGCTAAAACATCAACATCTCCACCAGAATTTTCCTTTTCTTTTTCTTTCTCATCTTCGTCCTCATCGGATCTACCACTCACCAACTGCTGCTTCTTCTTAGCTTTCTGATCCTCGGTCAAGGACTCATCAGCCTCGATCGCACGGATCGCTGCTACAAGGACCGAGCCGTTGGATTCAGTTCCGGCGATTCTCCGAAAACCGGGACGGGATCAACGTCGCCGGAGCAGTCAGGGCACTCCCACTCTCGAGTGGATTCTAGGGTTTCGGGAGGGGACGTGAGACATGACACGTGCCAAGGCGTACTGCAAGTGCTGCACAAGAGACACTCAGTCTCCTCGTGAGGCTTCACATTGCAACGCATGCAGATTCCGTCGTTGCAGGGATATTGAGCCATAGTAAGAGAGAAATGCAAAGAGAGAATAGGAGTGAGAGCGAGAGAGAGAAGATGAGAAGACGCGGGTGTTGGGGAAGAGCGCCTTTCAATTCAGATAGGCAATTATATTTCAATTTTTTTCTTTCTTCTATTAATTTGAAACTTTCCCAAATGACCTTTGAATATCTATAGACAGGCCGAAATTTTAGGAAATATATTTTATTATTTGCAAATAATATCTACTATTTCTATTTTATCAGTTTTTAATAAAATATAACCTTTTTAAATTAACTGTTTCCAAATTTTCTTTCATTTTTTATTTTTATTATTTCTAAACTGTGAAATTTTAATTTTTTTTATTGCTGGTCAATATGTCAAATTCTTTGAAATTTTTTTAGGTATTTTTTTTTTCTTTACCAGTCAAAATTATGAAATTGACATACAATGTATATAGTTTAGGACTAAAATAGAAAAATAGTTTAGTAAAACTAACTATTAAAAAAGATTGCATTTTAAATTAAAATTATATATATATATGTATTATTTTTTTTCAAAATTTACAAATATATATAACATAAAAACAACTTGTTTTGGTTTACCGTGGAATCAATACTATAAAAATAGGATGTTTCTCCATCTGATTGACAATTCAGAATTTTATTTTTATAAGAAGCTGATACTTCATAAAAAAAAATTTTCCAGTCAAAACATTTTAATTAATACAAATCAGTCTAGAGTGTTACACATTGCTTAAATCGATACACCATTCATCGCTTCATTTCTTCTCTCTAGTTCTCTGATTTTATTTCTACTTACACTACAAGAGATTGGTCAAGTGGTATCACTCTATTTTTTCAAGTCGTAATATCATGAACGGACGCGAAAACAAAAACGAAAAAATACAAAGATAAATGCTTAAGAGAAATGATATGATCAGTGAGAAAGTTGTATATGACAATGATAGCACTAATCAAACATAGTGATCAAAGCAACTCCATGTATTTTGATTCATTCCCACACAGTCATTTGAGATTATATTGTTCTTATAGAGCATTTTGACACAAAAGGATATACCTATTGTCCCCAACTTGTGGTAACACTCCGGAGGTCTGTGCACTAGAAACGTCTTATGAATGTATATATGTCTGAAGTCCCTCGTGAAACAACAGAGATAAATTCATGTCAGTGCACATACCTTTCCAGACCTAGCTCGACCACATGCATGAATTTCTGATGATAATCTCTGACCGTTAGTTCCATGAACCACTCGGCTTGGCTCCCACCTAAGACGTACTAGCTGGCCCAGCGACTAACACTTGTGGGCACACTCAAAAACATCTTAATACAGTATATGTGAAAATCATAAAACATCGTACTATTAGGAAACTTATTACAAGCTATTGCTAGTACTGTACATAGATTCTTTTTTAAATATTTTGAATGCAGTAAAATCTAAGGGATTATTAACATTTATATTTAGGGCTAATTAACCAAGCTTAATCCACTGTAGCTGTCTTAAATGTTTCCGAGTTACCAGATTCCTTGCGATCTCGGTCTCAACAATTTATTTGCATGCATCACTTGAATTCGATATCTTGAATGGCGTATATAATCCAAAAAGAATTTCCATTATATATCCAAGAAGAGGAAAATGTGAACTGTAATTCCATTTCACACCCATACGAAATATTTTGAGATACAAAAATAAATCTTTGGGAGAGCTACAAGGAAACGTGTATGAGATGAAGAAGAAAAGAGAAGAAGAAGTGAGTTTATTATATTAATGATAAGAGACTTGGTAACCAAGAAACACTGATGAGTTGGCTTAGCTAGTCCCCAAGATTCCAATGTAGATATATATACTTCTCTTTCAGCGTTTTATATCGTTTGTTGAATTCTAATTTGTTGTTTATGAAAGATTATCACTGTAGTTTTAGTTTACTTTTAACATTACTAGATTAAAGCCGCGTTATGCGCGGTGATATTGTTACTTTTTCTTATTAAATTTATTTTTTCAAATTTGTAATTTTTTTTTTTAAATAATAATAGTCTCATATTTGTAAAATGCCTTTTTGTAAAACTGAAACTGAAATTATTAAATAAAAGTGCATTTTTTATTAAGCATTTTTTACAAAGATGAATTGTAACTTTCAAGAAAACAACTGAAACTATTATTAGTTAAAAATTATTGAAAACTGCTAATCACAAATGATATATTTATTGTTTATTTTTGATATAGTTTTAAACAGAGAATATATTTTTTTAAACAGAGAGTATATTTTTGTTGTGTTTAGGGATGATTTATATATCTAATTATTTTTATATATAGTTGTGTAAAACAGTTTTTTTTGGTGAATAAATTTAATATTCAGCTTTTCCTCTTCAGCACCTTGTGCCTGTGCATTTTGTCAGGAAGTGTGTTTTCTTCCTAAACCATAAAATACTAATAATCAGATTGTTGGTAAAAAAATAATTCCATCCTGCAGCTTACTCTAGCTTTGGTGGATGAAGATCTCTAATGAAAGCAATCAGGGTAACTAACTATTTGATTCTTCAATTCTTCAATGGGAGGTTTGACATTGCTCACATAGAGTTTGGTAACTCTGTTGATCTTAGTATTAACACTCAGGACACTCAAATTCGAAAATAAAAATCACATTGACATATAAGTCGCAGAGAACAAAAGAAGAGCAAAGGGAAAAGGAAAAACTCATCAAGACAAAAATGAGAAGGAATTCTACTAATGGTTTCACATGACATTCGTTCCAAAACTAATCTGAAACATAAAACTTTTAAACTCGGAAGCTGGGAATCTGTCTTTTCCATTTGATTTATATGGCAGCTGCGATCCTTCCTGCAACTCGGTGAAGATCCCTCTGACCACTTGAGGTGATTTTTGTCCCCTGGTTACATCAGAATAAGCCCTCAGGTCGACTTTCCTTACCATAAAAGCTAAAAGAGTAGATATTGGTCTCAGGATATAGCTACTTTTGATATTTTTTCATAGATGGAAACATTAGCGCGACTTGATCAAAAAGTTATACATACCGCCTCTGATGTAGTAGCACTCAGGGTCATTTATATGGAGCAATTCACCAGTCTTGACGATATCTGTCCACAGAGGCAGCTCAATCTATATGAAAGAACCAATTTTTTTTTAAATCAAAACCAGAAACATTGAGTGCTAATGTAAAACGACTGCAAATAAACCAAGCCAAGCAACGAATACTAATACCAATGTTTTCACACTCAAATCTCATCAAGGTGAAGAAACACAGAAAACAATGTAATCTCACCAGAACAAATCAAAACTATTGCTTTGAAGAAGTGGATAAACCGAGAGTGGACATAAAAGGAGAAATGACTATGTAGATTAGGGAAAAATGATGGTGATAGGTGATTATCTGAGGTAACATTCTTTCTGACATGGTGAGAATAAACACCAAGCAAACATCTTTTGGGAATCCTCTGTTTGCATTTGACTTTGGGTGTTTCTTTGAAAAAATAAAACAAGTTATCCTCTGATGTAAACGAAACAGAACTAAGCCAAATGAGGCGCATGAAGTTACCCTTTGCAGATTCACATATGCGGACTGATCGATGAAGAACCTCAATCTTCATGCTTCTTCCTCTGTAACCAACAAAAAAATGGAAGAGCACACAATAAAAAAAGACAGCATTAGAAAAACCATGAAACCACGATAACAAAAAGGTGTGTATGAACAATTCCTTACCCTTGAGACGAAGCTCGATAATCCTACGCATGAGCTCATTTTTTCAATGAGGTCTTTAACAACTCTTTCCAAATCAACCGAGCTCAATCACTTTTTTCGTAAACTTATGGATGATAGAAAAATTTCAGAAATCGAACAAATGAAAAATCCCTAATCCTAATTTTCCCCCATAAACCTTTCCCGAAATCCAAAGGAAACAAATAATCGAGAGACCATATCAAAGAACAAAAAGAAAAGGAATAGCCACTTCAAATTCACACCCAAATAGGTCTCAAGGCTTTTTCAGAAAAATCAACACAATTTAAAATCTAGATTGCGATCGAAAAGATGAAAATGAATCGACATTGAACAGAGATTTTTTAGCAAGGGGAGAGAGAGATCGAAGAAGCAACAGTTGACGTGGCTACAAAATAAGCTGACTGGTATTAATTCAAATGTTTCCATTGGTTGTTTGTTTTTAATGATGTAGCAGCCTCAACAAGCTTCAAAAGTCCTATATGTCATCACCTAGAGAGGCACATGATTTTTTGCTGTGTTGATTTGAATCAATTTAATTAACACTTCGTAAGAGTCGTAAGCCGTAACAGAATTGACTGGATCTCTAAATGTTTCTTTTTTGTTTGTCTGGTTATCTTCTAAATTTACGTCGCTAAATTTAGATGTTAGTAGATTTTGTGTGTAAATTATATTCCGTCCATTTGGAATTCAATTACCAATGTTTTTTTTATTTTTTAAAGTTATAGTAACTGACAAAATCTTTTTTTTTAATTAAAATATTATAAAGAAATTTCCATTGTATACCCAAATTTCAAAATAGGTCTGGGCATTTTTATCCGAACCCGAAATACCAAACTGAACTCGATCCAACATAGTTGAAACCGAACCGAATCGAAACTGACACAAATACCCGAATGGATCCTAAATTTCTACTCCAAAACCAAACCGAAAACCAATGGGCATCCAAAATTTCAAAATATAATTATATATCCAAAAATATGTAAAATTACAATTATAAATCTAATATAATAATTATATTTAGAAAAAATAACTAAAATATTCAAGAAATCCGAAAATATTTAGTTATATTTGTTAATATTCAATATTTATTTTGCTAATTTTTTTTTTAAATCAGTTAAATTAAACAGTTTTTTAATTTTAATTTTATTTTTGTAATTAAAGTTTAGAAACCCGGAACCGATTCGAACCTGGGCATAATCGAACTGGACCTGACTCGAAAATAAAAAAATACACGAATGGTTCTAAAATTTCTAGAACCGAAAGACTCAAAATCCGAAAGGAACCGATCCAAGTCCGACCCAAAAACGAATATCGAATTCTATTTCAAAACGTTCTTCAATCTTTCATTAATGCACACCAACCAATATATTAATCAAAAATGTGAATTTAAAAAAAAACCATTTACGTTAATCAATAATATTACTTTATTATTATTATTATTATTATTATTATTATTATTATTATTATTATTAATTATTTTGTTTTAATTTAAATGAAAACAGGAAATTCCAAAAGACTCTTTGCTTTAGTTATAAATGGGAGATCTAATCTTCTACCCTATCATCACAAAACCCTAATGCTTTCCTTCGATTCTACCGAAGCTAAGAATCAACATACTTCTTCCGCTCTTGTTGCCGCCACAATGCAAGGTTCTTATTCAGAGACTGCCACTGAATCGGAATCCGAAAGCCAGCATTCTACGGTTACCACCGCTGCTTCAGCCTTACCAAAGAGGAAGTGTAAGCGGTTAAGTGAAGAGGCCACAACAACCTCAAAGAAAGTGAAACGGGCCAACGTAGAAACAGATTTGATTATGAATTCTTTCGTTGTTGGACATCTTGTTCGTTTGGGAGTTAGTGAAGAACGTGTGAAGGAAGGATGGAGTTTGGTGCCGGTGGAGAGGAAGAAGAGGATTGAAGAAGAGTATAAAGCTTTGATGCGCGAAGAAATGCAACGTGTGGCTAGGAAAGCTTACCTTGTGCGTTATTTGTTTAACTAGAACTTTCACCCGCGCACGCGCGGGTCTGTATCTTAAATCAGTTTAAAATATATTTTAATTTTTTTTTTAAACTGCAAAAATCAACAATTAAAATTTATCAATATTTCAATACCAAAACTCTCTGGAAAACAAAAGTTTTTAGATATATCAATATCGTATTGAGATCAAATCTTGACATACAAAAATATTGTTTAGATCATATCCCGGTAACAAAAATGTTTGTGTATGTCTAATGACCAAAACTTACTTGAAGATATTCAAATCATTATAATAGGACAAACTTACTTTATCACTAAACTTACTTGTAAAATGTAATGTTAATTTATGAACTATTGTGACGTGTTAGTCATTTTCTAAACAGAAATATATTTTTAAATATGTTTAGTGAAATTCTTAAAATTAGATGTCAACAATATTTGTATGTAACATGATGTTTATTTAAAATAACTTCAGTTGGTTATGTTAGAACTTAAAATGCTATAAATAACAATATTTGTATGTAATAAATTTAAGCTAGATGATAAACTAATATTTTGGTAAGTTTTCAATGGTTATAAAACCTAAAACCTAAATGAAGAGAAGCTAGTCGACACACATAATTGTTCTTCATTTTCTTCTTCGTTGTTGTTTTAAAGTTTTTTTTAATTTTCTTTGATTCATTCTTTTTCAGTATCTTATGTTTTGTTTTCTTCTTTGTCTTTGGTCTTATTTGATTTCTTCTTCATTTTCACTCATCTTCGCGTTTGCTCTTCTTCGTCTTCGCTCTTCTTTTTTTTTCTCTTTTTTGTTTTGTTTTGATTTGGTTTCTTCTCCTTTGTTCTTATTTTATTTCCTCTTTAGATTGGTCTTCGCAATTTTTTTGTTGTTGTTAGGTTTCTTCTCCTTCGTTCTTGTTCGAATTCCTCTTCAAATTGTTCTTCACAAGTTTTTAATATGGTTTTTCCTTATTCATCTTTGTCTTCTTTGGTCTCTATTTTGTATTCGCAATTCAATATCTTTGTTTTCGCTATTCTTCGGTTTTATCTTGGTACTCTTCTTCTTTGTGTCTACTTTTTTCTTCATTTTTTTTTCTCTTATTTCTGTAGGTTATTCTCGACCCTTAAAATTCTGCATGGCTCTATTCCTCTTAAATTTAGAATAAATTATAATTAAATAAAACACAATTTCGTTACCTGAAAAACTGAAAATAAAATCAAGCTAGAATGACTTATTGAACAAAATATATTCAAAACAGGCCCTTTGAATGTCATATGTAAATACTAAAATGAGAAGAAATTTATCTTATTCTGTTTTTCATAAATTTACTTTTGTTTATATTCCTTCTCTTTCAAGTGGCATCTTTTAAAAATACTACTTATAAACACATGAATATGTAAATATTACAAAACATTGAAAAAACAAAAATAGAAAAATAGAAAAGGAACAAAATACAGCCTTCTATTGTGTTTGCCTTTTCCTTTCAATTTGTGTCATGTAATCACTATTCTGATTTTTTTTCTTTCTTCATAATCAATATTATTTTCCCCATCGAAAGCTTACTAATTTAGGAGCAACAATTCACTTTTGATTTAATCTACACTTTGGTAATTTCGATTCCTTGTTCTCTTCATAGTCCTTTGAATTTTTTGTGGTAATGTAACTTATTTATTAATTAATTGGATGTGCTTCCATTATCAAAATACAAAGAAAATCAATTGAACACCATAGACCAGATAATATTCGAAATAAAGCAAGCGAATTTATTTATTTCACAGAAGGACATGTATACCTTCAGTGTGATGCCCATTGTCTTTGTTTCAATCATTCCTTTGCTTCATGATTTTTCATTAATCCACTACATATCCTTTAGAAGAATTGATCGATCTATGTGAACTTTCAATATGTGATGTCAAAGTATCTTGTCTTCAATATATATCCCTCCATCTTGTTTCCAGGTGGTTTCTCGATGTTGGATTTGTTTGATCTTATATCAAGCTCTGACGTGAACATATGTTTATTCATGTAAGCTACATTTGATCAAAATCCAGTTAATACAATTGTAGCTTTTGTAGGTGTTAAAAAGGGAGGAGATGACTCTTGGTATATATAAGAAATAGATGGCAAAAGTGTGTTAGGGTTTTTAATTTTTATTAGCTAAAGGAAAATTTCCTTATTTGTTTCCTTATTTAATTTCCAATAGTATTATTATTTGTTTTCTTTTTTCTTAAAGGAAAATCTCCTTTTTTACAATTCTGCTGATAAAAATAAAAAGTAAATTAATGAAAAAAAATTCAAATATAAATAATTTTAGATGTTGATATATAATGATATTGTTGGTATAATTTTCTTATTTATTACATATCTCTACTAATATTACACTTATAAATTCTGGAAACTTTCCTATTGCTTACCTTTGAATTATGAAACTTTCTTAAAATATAAAAATATAAAAAGGAATTTAACTAATTGAACAAATAGCTAATTTTATGTGATGATGTGGACTGATACTATTGGTTGTTTAAAATTCGGAAACTTTCTTAATCTAGGAAATACTTATGTGGACCAATCATATCGCGTTTTTAAATCCTATGTGGACGCTCTTAGAGGCTTATAGCCTCAACTTTTATATAGTATAGATTGAAATGTAATATCTCATTTTGTGTTTCTAGTCTTTATGAGTATGGTTTGTTTTCATGTTTTATTTTTACTAGGAGAGAACCCGCGCGGACTAAAATCTTTGAAATATTGTATTTTATTTACTTGTTCTTGCTCTTTTATTTTTTGGACATCAACTTTATTATACGAAATTACGGTTTCCGCAAAATTACTATAGTTTCATGCCTAATAAGTTTTACATTACTTATACGCTTAACTCGACCACGTTTGGTTTTTACATGTGCATTGTATCTAATAAAGTTAAACCATTCTTTAATTTGCACCGTTGGAAGAAAAAATAATGTATTTGCACTTCATCCACACTTCGTCTGCCTCTCATATTACAAAACCACGAGATCCACGATGTATCATTAAGTTCCGAACAGCTGATCCGCTGCTATTTAACACTGAACGGCAGAAGCATCGCAAATAGGAAATACCTTTTATTAACTTTCTGAATTCTGATGACATTTTGGTTAACTGAAGCTAATAAAGGCTGCATAATTTTTTAAAAAAAAACAACCAATCAATTGTTTTCTCTCAACTCAGGGAATGTCAAGAGTAACAGACAGCTTATGATCGTGCTTCTTAAAAAGAGGAACAAATTCCACAACCCCCACACATCATTCTGCATAGACGAGCTCACAAATTGATTAAAATTCTCCACAATTGTAAACATGACAAGTAAGAGGCTAATTCTTAGAGTTGCATCATCAGACCGACCTTATTTAATCATAAGTTTGGTTTCAGCGTCTTACAAACTCTATGAAACTCTATGATTCTCAATATTTGCAGTAAGAGTTGGATCATGGACACACCTTTGACACCACAAGCTCCAAGATTCCTAATACACTAAGAATCGAAGTTCGGAAAAAAAAAAAAAATTAGGCTTCAACTTACATGTATGGGTATTTAAAGGGAAAAATCAGCAGGTAGAAAATGATAATAAAAAAGGAATAACGCTAGGCCGAGCAGCCACACCTCCACCAAAACCATATAAAGGGAAAATAATCATCCTTTTACTGACTCAAGACATATATGCACTTGCACTTTTCTCATATATAGAAAGGTATAAAAAGTATGAATTCGATCTAGCTACAATTTAGTCACAAGTTTTGAAGCATAAGTTGTTGGGCGTCTTAGTTACATATGAAAATGCGGTAGCTAGAAATGGGAGAATATTAAGAGAAAAAAACACAAGGAAATGCTCAAACATACAAGCAGCGCATTGACAGGTGAGCCAGAGAATACCTGGTGGCCGAGAAAATATCATCAAACTTCTTGTTCAAAGTACCAGAATCTTGCAGTGGCCAGGTAGACTCATCTTGGTGCACAAATATGACGTTTTCTAAAATATCTTTTAACACTCCCATCAAAGCTGGTATCTCCTTATCCATGTCAGCGCATCTGTAGCTGATACATACTTTCTGCAGTTTGATGATATGTTTCGAATTCATTCAACTTGCAGGAAAAAAAACAAACACTTTAATGAAATATAAAAAGTCTAACACTACCACTGGAACTTCAAAAATGGGAGGAAAGAAAAACTAAATGAAAGAGTGATAACAAGAATTATGTGTAACCTTGACACTGTCAATGGCCTTGTACTCCATCTTTTTTGCCTTTTGCTTCAACTGAAATGACCTTATACACACCACATCCTTCCCTGCAGCTGTCTAACTATAGCAGCAGTAGATTGTTAATTAAATGTACTACCTTGGTCATGCGTAAAATTGAAGAACTGGTATTGCCTTCACATCTATACTTGCAATTTCACCTACATATTAGAAAACCAAGAATTACGTTAATTTTCAAACCCAAGTAGGCTTGTATTATAATAAAAGAAACCAATAATTACGTTAGTTCTGCAGCTGATTCCGATTCCACATTATACAACGTAAAGATTATTATAAGATTGATTAGTTAGAAAAGTAGGAAAAAGACAAAAAGTCTCTACATATTGGTCTGCTTCTTCGTTTAGTTGGAGAGAATTGACATTAGCTGCAAACAAACATTTAGTTTCTGGTAAATTTAAAAGATTTCTATTAATCCAAGATATAAAGAATAATGCTTCAGACACATTACCTTGATATTCTTTCTCGATTAGATTTAAAGTGAAACCTCTAATTTCTCGATTAGATTTCTTCATTCTCTGCAACAAAACAGAACAGGGAGGAGATATGTTAACAAACAAACAGTGAGGAGATCAATGACATCAATGACATAAGAGCAACTGCAAGAAAAACGCAGGAAAGATTATGTTACCTGCAGCCAAAATAAAGCTTCAAAACTGGATTCCCATATCTAATATGTCATTCTCAGAATCACGATCTACATGAAAATGACATAAATTCATCAATGGTATGCTGCAAGAACCCCAAAGTTTTGTTAACGAATAACACAAGCACATAGGATCACAAGCTAAAACAGAAACTGATCATAAAAAGTGATGCGGAAAGAACACTGGAAACATTCGATTAGTACATGAGAGATTGTTAGTATCTAAAGAATGATTGCTGGATTTGATGGGGTGATTTCAAATAAAATAAAAAATACACGAAACTCATAAGAAAATTGACAAAAGTGAGAACATTACCTATAAATCTTCCTCATTTGATTTAAGAGACACAAAGAAGAAGAAAGAGACCGAAGATGATATAGAAGAAGGCAAATAGCTAATCGGTCGGAGGTAATTTTCGTCGGAGCCAAGAGGAAGAGAGAATGGGAGATGTCTTGAGATGGAGATTGCAGATTCGGTGGTTGAATAGAGAAAGAGAGAGAATGACAAAACGAAAAGATGGATATAAAAATGATGGAGATGATTGAGGTGAATCAAGAGAGAAAAGAAATCGCAAACATAGAAGAAAAGATGGGATTCGAAGAGATTTCTGGTTCTTCGAAATTGACGGAGGAGGGTGGTGGAGCGACTGGGTAGTTGTTAACCGGCGACGGCTTGATGGGGGGGGAGCTTTTTATAGTCGAGGAGAACAATTGAAGGCGAGGAGGCGTTAGCACCGGAGTTAAAGGCGGCCATTAACCTTGTAACGGCGGAGGAAGGGATGTGGAGAGTCTCATGGAGTAAACAATTTGGCGGAGCAGAATTTTTTTTCTTCATAGTTTTTTTTTTTGTTGAAATCAAAGCGACGTCGTTTGATTGAGAAGGGGAATAAGAAAAAACACTAGACGACGTCGTTTTGGAGGGGAAAAAAGAAGCTGACATAGCACTCTCTGGGGTGCCGACGTATTGCAGTGTCACAAACTTTTTCAATTACATAGATGAAATATCGCCATTCATCTTTGTTGTTAGAGAATAAATATATATTATTAAATTAATTATATATATGTAACTATTAATAAAAAAAATTAGAATTATCTTTCTTTAATTGGCAATTACGAAAATAAGTAAATAAGGAAAATATGAAATTCAGTTTAATTCTATCATGATATTTTTCTAAAATCATTATATATCTCCTTTCATCTTTGTTTAAATTTATTTTATAAAATAAAAATTATCACAATACAAAGTCAAATAAAAAAAATCTAAAACTTTTTCTATATATACTATGATTTGAATTTTAAAAAACAAAATAATCACTAAAACTGTTTAAAATATATTATAAAAATAGATGATATGCAACAATATAAGTAGCAGAGTAGGGCCTTGATTGGTAGAGCATTTAGAAGAGCATTAAACTCTTTCTAATCCAATCAAGTTTTTTTAAAAGAGCATTTAGAAAAGCATTTAGAAACAGCTAATGCTCCCAAACTGCTCGCTCCTTCCTTCCCTGCTCTGAAAATGAGCATTTCCAAAGCATTGAGCTCAAAAATATTAAAAAATTAAAAAATTATAATAAATTATATTTAGTTTATTTATTTTGGTAAAAAATTGAAAACTATATTTATATTAAATTTACAATTTTATAATTTCGTAAATTATGTTTATCATTAATGTATTATTCATAAAATAAATATTTAATGACATAAAAATTTTAATAAATATAATTTAAATATGAAATAATAACTAAATAATTTTAAAAAAAAAAATCTTATGTTATTAATGAATATATATATGATGCATTAAAATAAATATCAATATACATATTAAATATTTTCACAAAAAATTATAATAAAAAAACTCACAGCTCTACCAATCACATAAATCAAGAGCATAGGCTTCAAGAGCTTAATGCTCTTCTAAATACTCACCCTGCTTATGCTCCTTAAGCTTAATGCTCTTCTAAATGCTTTGCCAATCAAGGCCTAGGTATTCAATTGTAAATTATTTTTTATTCGATTTAATATAATTTTTAATTAATGTGTATAATTAAATCTAATAAAACGATTTTTATATAAAAGTATTTAATTTTGATCACTGAATATTGCTCCATCTGTTTTAATTTTCAATACAAATTTAATTATATTTTTGTTGGTTTGACAATTTGGATTTTGCAGATAGTTTTCTTTATTGGTTGGATTGTTTTGAAATTATAATAAAACATGTTTAGTTTTAAAAGAAATAAAAAAGTTTGTTCTAATCCGTGTGCACACACCTAAAACTTCTTATCTTATGAAATACATGATATATAATTTTTTTTTTCAGAATAATATTTTATTTTCAGCTTTTTGTTCTATCTTATTATATTGTAGTCATTTGAGTTTTATATATCTTGCAGAAGTCTAGCATATTTAATCTATGACTACGATCAATACTTTAATTTGTTTACCATTTAAAAAAAACGGTTTAAAATGTTTAATTTCTACACTATAAACGAAGATAAGAAACTTATTAAGATAAAAAAATTCGTCCCACAAAATTTGAAATAGTTAAATAGACATGTTTTGATAAAAAATACAAATTCAGAAACCATAACTCTGTGCAGGGCACGGGTCAAACTCTAGTAATTGTATATAAGGTGAAGTTTGGTCTAATAGAAGTTGTCAAAACAAAAGAGTTAAAAGAGTATAATGGTAGTAATATAAAAAGGTAAGCAACTAAACAAGACATTCATAAAAGATCTCTCACAACCTTCATAATTTCTTATCCCACAAAGAGAGAGAGAGACTCACAAAACCACTTTCACGCCTTGAGATGGAATTTGAGGGGAAAGAGAAAAGGTTGGTTGTATTTTTAATCAGTAGTTGTTGAGCCATAACTGTTGTTGGAGTTGTTGAGATGCGTCTCTAGCGTTTTGTTGTTGTTGGTGGTTGTGAGGGAGATGATCTAGTGACATTGTAGCCTCTGAGTGGTAAGAATTGTCATAGCCATATCTTCTAATATGTTGTTGTTGTTGAGAAAACTACTGCTGCTGCTCTTGCAGTTGCTGTTGTTGATGAAATAGATGCTGCTGCTGTTGCTTGCAGTTGCTGTTGTTGATGAGACAGTTGTTGCTGCTGATGCTGTTGCTGTTGCTGATGTTGTTGATGGAAACCGAGCAGCTGCTGATTCTGATGACCCAAGATGTTATCATATCCGCTTCCTGGAATCACACGCGAGTCAGGTTGTTGTCTTTGATTCCACACTGCTGAGTTTTTGATCTGTTGATCAAAGCTAAACCCTAAACCCTAAATACTAAGAAAGAAACTAAAGGTTAAGAGTTGGGAAACATAGATAGGCATTAATACTCAAATTCAAAATTTATCATAAACCAAATCTAACAAAAAAATGATCCAAACAAATTTTTATTTCTAATTAATCAAACCAAATCAATAAATGAACCCATTTTTTTCCGAAAACGGTTATATAGCCCTCGATTTGACTAAACTAAGAAAACCGAATAGAACCAACCATCAAATGCTCACATCAACAAGATTAAAAATGAGACACATTTGTTGGTTTACCTGATGCTGAAGTGATGATGTCAAGTGATTATTTTCCTTAAACTATGAGTTCAAGATATCTTTGAAGGAGTTGGCAGTATTAGTGGAATTCATAGGGTAGTTGTTACTAGAGGAAGCTGTTACTTGAGGCTTGTATTGGGGAAGCATGGTAGCTAAGGACTGATGGTAGCTAAGGACTGATGGTTGTTGTAACTCATTTTTGATACTATATTATATGTCAAAAGTGAAGTTGGTTTGAATGAGAAATGGAGATCCAAGTGGGTTGCTTGTATAGCGTAAAGTGTAACATTTTATGAAATGTAATGTCCCACATTTTATTAAATGTAACATTTTATGAAATGTCTCACATTGGAAGTTTGAGGTGAAATCCTCGTTTATATAAAGTGGAGAATTTTATACAAAGTTTAAAAACTCTTGTATGAGAGAAAGGAGATGGTTGTTCTTATGTTTCGGGCCTCGGGTTTTGGCAGTTGAGCCAAGGTCTATAAAATTAATCTATTGACCATTTTTTTTTTAAGTCAACAAAGAAAATATCTCCTTTAGTTATTGTCTCATTGTTTATAATGACAAATAAATGGAGGACTAAATTTTGTAACATAAATTCTGTCAAGACAATTAAGAAGATAATCCTACAATATATTAAAGACCATACAGATTTGGTGATATGGCGAGTCCACAATTTTTTGAATTTATTTTTGATTTATTTTAATGCATATATTCATTTCTTGGTAAAAGACGCGGATCTTTGTCGGATTCTTTATAACCCGGTTTCTTA